TTTATTTGATCTGAATCCCCGTTTTGATTACATTAGTCAGTTCTATTGTTTACAAACTTTAAACATGACCGATATTGTCAATTTTCCCCCAAAAATGTTTGCATTGTCTTTAAAACTTGTCTCATATTTCGTATCTACTATATCTTATGAAGCAGGAACAATCTCCTTAAACTTAGATATAAGATCTGGAGAAATTATCATTTGTACTCAACTGTCACTTAATGATTTGCTTCATATGCAAATAATATTTCATGGATGTGTGCACTAAAATTCAGGTACAATGGAATGATGGCAAGACAGCAAATCCATATTCGTTTTATATGATCAATAAATTGTATTTTAGAACTCTTTGATAAACAGATATTCTGAACTTGCTCACTTTTCACTGAACAGTTGGGACGTTCATTTCAACATCCTGGTACCAACAGATAAAGTTTAGTGTGATTATTATAGTTTATGTACCATTATAACTTCATACTTAGTAAATAAAGATAAGATAACAGTTCCCTTTTATCTTCGGAAGGGAGGTCTGTCCACCCGCATAATCCTAACTCTACTGTGATAATATGACTTGACGTGAGAATTGTTTTGTCAAAATGTAGACAGACACACATCAGTACTTGAAAAGAATAAAAAAAAACAGATGGCTCTTCATAACCTGTTGTAGAAGTTATGTTGAATCCCGCCTGCTTATAATTGCATATACCGAGAAAAATTCTCTATGAAGTCCAAATGATTTTCTATATAATTACACTTTTCTTCGACACATTTGTAGATATAGCTTTGTAATTATTACTAAATGCTCAGAAGTAAATGCCATTTATTTAACTTGATGAAAATAGAATTAATGAAACATTTTCCTAGAGCAACTACTGTGTTCATGGTAGCATCGAAAACCTGAGTTTGCTGCTTTCGAGGAGTCAAGGCAACCTGTATTAAAATTATTCTGCTTTGTAAGTATTAAGGTGGTTAGGAACGCAGTAAGCTGTTCTCGGTTTTAGTTCCTATTACTGTTGCTGTAAGTATCGAACTGTTTAATTTAGCTTAATTCATCATATTGCCATCTCGTTACTTAAAAACAAAACAGAAATACTCAACTATTAATTTTTGCATTAATGTCGTAAATTTTACTCAAATACACTACATGTTAGTTTTATTGGAAGTACAAGTTTAATCCTTGGGAGAAATATAGTTTTCTTAATTTTAGCTCATGGACAAATAAACTTACCTTCTCTCTCTGGCTGTTTAACTCGATCTGGGTATCAGTGAAAGATAAACGGCAACTTTGAGTTTCGTTTTTAAAAAATGCAGCCAGAAAATTAAGCAGGAGCTTCGGGCAAGTTAGAAGCTTTTTTCGGGGTAAGCCAACGCCATACGTTAGCGTTTATTGGTTGGCCAAGAACAAATTTCAAATCCAGCAACAAACGAATACACGTGCTGTGCATTCTCAACAATTCTAGATGTTAATAAGCACACGCTCCTAAAAGCAGGCCAACGTCAACTAAGTCGCCTGAGAAGATGCGCATGCGTATTAATCATAACGTCGCACACTCTAAAATAATACAGAGAGAGATCGTAAAACGTCAGCAATATGGCAGGGAGTGTTTCGAAACTCCATTTCAGGTAATTTCTATTATTAATCAGGACAAAATAATGTTGAAAGTGTTGAAGTTTATCTCACAGACGTCGATAAAACTCATTTTCGAACTTCGTTGACATGGGCAAAAACATATATCCAATCGTTGAGGTTTTTAATAATAACACTTTCCTATAAGAAATCAGCAAAATCAAACAATAGATGGTCCCCACTATTTAGGCCAGATTTCAATCATGCGTAATTGGGTTGTACATTGAATTAAAGTTTAGATTATATTTGGAAACAATTTTAATCTAAACATAATAAAAGGCCACTCTACATAGCCCTAATAACAGCATAAGTCAGGATTAAACCCCCTAAAAAGTAAATATTGACGCTTTTGACTGAAGAATATTAAACATCTTTAGAAATGTGAAGCACATCAAAAAGAAGAAGAGATTGGTTTATTTACACGGTGTACACGGCATTGAAAGTACTTGCATGTTTCCAGGACTAAACGAACATTCATAAACGTAATGACGACCATAAACTTTAAAAATAGATGTTACTTTTTTGATAAGGAATACTTTACGATTATAAAACTAAACATTTAAGTGCTAGAAGTATTTGAAATCAATGGATCTCTAAATCTCAAGTTACTTACTCCTAAACTGATCAATAGTGGCATTAGATAAATAGTAATAGCGAAGAAATTGAAATGTAGTAGTGACACGTGTATTTTTATAAAATAAAATTGTTCTAACACGTATCAATAGGTTTGTTCGTTTGTTTAGTTACGCAAAAATGCGCAATGGACTATCTGCGCAGGCATAGGACTCCGAATTTTAATATTATAAACCTTCAATCTTAGAGCTCAGCCGCCAGGGAGGAGGAGGGCAACTTGGTACTCAAAACTTTTATCTATAAACAAAGTATTAAAGCAATTTAATATCCCTGGAAGGGAAGGGGTGTTCTGGAACACATACAATTTAAATTCAACGTGCCAAGATGATTCCGCTTAATAACTTCAATCTAAACCTCTCAATATTTGGTTTTGCCCTTAAGGGTTTTTGTTGTCGTCGTTGTTGATGTTGGCTGCTGAGTACTTTTAATCGGCATGTTAAAGACTGAACATAGCTCAGAATTAGACATATATATAACTTCGCAGCCAAAAAAAGACGTTATATTACTCGAACTTGTGTGTTTCTTAATAAGAAGCCTAACTTATCTATATGGCAAGATTGAAAGTGAAAGCAGCGACGTCGGTGCTGAAACTTGCAGTTCAGAGTATGCTGATAAGTTAGTGTCTTTTATGATGAAACTGTAAACAGTCAGGGTTGAATGTATGTATGTAACAAATGCTTAAGAACGTGCACCACCCATGAATGTAGTGACAACCTAACGTTTCTACAGTCATTTTTACGAGCCTGAATACGTGAGACACACAATGCTATCTTATAATACAGCTTTAGCACCACCTGTTAGTCTGTCATTCAACATTAATAGACAACTGGGTTATCCCGATGTTTTCCTTCACAACTTAGTTTACTCACGCAGTTTTTGAAAATCCCATTACGTTTGAAACATAAAACTTAAGACTTTTTTGATATGTAGTGAAGTATAACAATCAAAGTTACGATTCCATACAAAACTGTAAAGTCTCTGAATAAACAATTCTTTTTAAGCCGTGTTTTCACTAACAATAATAAGACTATATCTATGTAGTTTACTGTACTTTAAATAAGTGATAAGCTTAGAATTCCTTCGATAACTATGATTTTCTAACATGTCGTCATTAGAGAACAAAGCAAGCATTATTTTAAGTAAAGCAGTTCACATAAGATTAGGGACCACGGCCTTTAATGTCTGAACATGGTAGATGGCTACGGACTATAAAATATTGTTTTTGGTTGTTTGTTTATAATTAAGCACAAAGCTACACAATGGGCTATCTCTGCTCTGCCCACCACGGGTATCGAAACCCGGAATCTAGCGTTGTAAGTCCGCAGACATACCGCTGTGTCACTGGGGGCCTATAAAATATACCTTAACTACATCCTTTAACTGTATTGCTTGTTAAAGTTTGTTTTTCATTTTTTTTTACGTTCTTTTACGATTAGCGCTTGTATCGTATCAAGCGAAGAAAGGCTTTTCTTGCGAATGACTGCATCACGTTCGTTTCCGTGTCTCAGTCTAATTAGGATTAAAGTCTTAAAAAACATTAACTTTAATTCTTTTATTGAAATTATTTATGAATTTGCACTTAACTTTCTATTTTCTAGCCTATAAGATCGTTTAAATCAGATTTATTTCGAAATTGATAGCAACATAAGGACTTCTATCTTGAATGTTATTATGGTCTCGTAAGAAATGCCTATGTAAATATAAAACCATTTTATTTAACAGTAAAAACAAGGTGTATTACAATTATATTTTTATCCCTTGCAAAAAATATAACTATTATATTATTATTCTTATTAGAATCATTAAGAAAAATGAGCGGCACGGAAGAAGTAAAATTTAATGCATCGAATATTAAAGATGCAAAATTTAGAATAAGTTTAAAACAAAAATATATTACGATTTAAAAAACAATTTAAATACTGGCAATATCCGTTTCATTTGACAGAATGTTATGCATAAAGACAAAGAAATGCTTTTCTACTTGCACTGTTTACAATGTCAAAACAATGACTTCTTAATATAGTTTTATAGAGAACATAAAGATCTAACTCATTTTGAAATGTAAACAACTGTAAATACAGGATGAGAATAGAAAAAAAAAACACTTAAAATTATAGTTTCTCCAAAAAATACCTGACATAGAGGAATACACGCTCACCAGGGTCACATTAAAAGTTTTAAGTTTTATTCAGGAAAGTTTGAACATGGTACAAGGTACTTCAAAAAACATATTATGCTGCACGACTAAATCGTTTCTGTTTTTTCAAAAATTACCATTGCTTTCATTTATCTTCCTTTACTCTCTCTCTCTCTTACAACATTACGAGGCAGGTGATTTGAATAAAGCGCATGCCATAAAGATAGATCCAGTGCAATTAGAAATAAAAACTAAACGCTGAATATAAGCATAATATGTTGTAAAACACAAGAAAAGAATAGGTCATGGAAACAGTTTTTGTGACGTACTTAGTGAGCGACTGAAAACAAGTGAAAAGAGATTTTGTTTATAAGATGACAGTAAGACGGCCAATTTCTCTCGCCCGAAACTCCATTTTAACAGTTGTATTTTCTCTAGTACTTTCTAAGTCATTTTTACTAACGTTTTTAGTATTACACCTCAACTCCTGTAAGCAATGCTGTAACTCCCTCATCTTTACATTTGTTGTTATGCTTGTAGATACATTTCCTGTAGTACAATGGATAATCCAACCTCTCCATAGTTACATTTCCAATAGTTAAGCTTCCACTCCATCGTAGCAGACTTTCCTGTATCACAATTCAACTCTTTTCAAAGTTGCACTCCATACACTATACTTCCTTTCCTCCGTAGCTACTATTCCTATGTTACATCTCAACCATTTTAAGTTATACTTCCTGCAGTACATCTTCACTCTTTCATAACTACTTCAAAGTTCAGTTCTCTAAAAATCTCATTTCCTGCATTGAAACTTGACTCCTACATAGTTTCACTTGCTGGAGTGCACATCATTTCTGTCATAGTTACCCATACAACAACATAGCTTAAATATCTTATACCAACATTTCCTGCAGTGCAACTTGACTCCTACATAGTTTCACTTGCTTGAGTGCACATCATTTCTGAAATAGTTACCCATACAACAACATAGCTTAACTATCTTATATCAACATTTCCTGCAGTGCAACTTGACTCCTACATAGTTTCACTTGCTGGAATGCACATCATTTCTGTCATAGTTACCCATACAACAACATAGCTTAACTATCTTATACCAACATTTCCTGCAGTGCAACTTGACTCCTACATAGTTTAACTTGCTTGAGTACACCTCATTTCTGTTGTGACTACTAATACAAAATAACAACTCAACCATCTTATACAGTACATTCCCTGAAGGTTTTATTCCATATAAAATAAATAATCTCGTTTGAACACGTAAAATTAATTACACAGATCAAACCATCGCCTTTTTATATTCTGAAATGACCCAGATTACACTGTTGCACAAGCTTGTTGTCTAGGGATAAAGTTCAACCTTTTATCAATGAATTACTTGGTTAATTATCCGAAAATACTTATGTGTCAAAGCGTGTCACTATTCATAGAATAAACCGTAAGCAACAACGACCCACACTGAGCCTTTAGCCACATCACAGCGTCGTTTTGGTACTACACTGGTTTCACATAGTATTAGCGTATGTAGTTTATAACAAAAGTTTAACTAGAGCATCCTTTTCTATATATATATATTTGTAAGTGAATTTTTCAGAAAAAACAAGTTGCGATGACTTATCAAGTACTGCTTTATTGTGAAATGTAAGTGGTAAGTGTTGTATACATTTTATAGATAGTATGATTTATATGTTAAGGAAAACTGCTTTAAAAAACCCCATCTCTTGACCAATTTGGGATCTAATTACAGCCGCGTCTATTGAGGATACTCCCTTGTTTTTTATTTTATCCTCTACTTGTTAAATTATACAGGAAAATACTTATTCTAATTAGAGGTTTCAGATGTGATGAGTTGTTTCATATAAATTATAAGTATGTAACAATTACTATTTTATAGTGTGTTAGAGAACGATATTATGTATCTACTTCTTCCAGTAGATCAATTCCAGTTGCAAATGTGATGCCTATGAGTTAAATATTTGTACTTGAAAAAACTCAGAGCCATTCTATGAGCCGCTATGCCGCGGATAAAAAGTT